GCCAAGCTTTTGTTCATAGGCCTTCCGAAGCAATTGCTCTTTATTATAACGAAATAGATCATTGTCCCGACATTATTAACGTATACTACGTTTTCACTCCTTTCTTAGATAAATTTGAAAATTGAAATGCTATGTTTCTGTTTCCACATCTCAATACTGAAATGCGTTTTCAGCTAAGAGTCTTTTCATACTAATGGCTTGGATCTTCTCAGCCATTTTCTTAACAGGTGAATTTAGGGGACTTAAGCGTCACACTGTAGCTTTAGATACTTTCCCCCCACTGCCAAATAATTGTTAGTTGACTTTTATCTTACGCAAGAGTCAAGATACAAGTCTCAATTGAATTTTGCATATTTATTTATATTTAAATCAAGGCAGTTATACATTTTAATATATTCAAATATTTCATTTACGAGGTTTCGCAAGGTGAATAACGCTTTCCAACAGCACACTTACAAAGAGGATGTCGATCATAGCAGTAATTATAGTAAACAAGTTTCATTTTCGGAGACACAATATATATACAATTTTTGTATGTACTAATTATGATGGACAATATTTTCTAAGTATATTTTCAACAATATACCTAAATGTATTATACCAAATTGAAGATTCTTAAAACATTGCAGTGTTTCAGAAGTGCATTAGTTAATAAATGTAATCCTTCGCGGGTTCCTATCTTGTTGTGGTGAAGGGGTTTCGTACGTGTCAGAGCAGAGCCAGTGATAGCGTAACTACTGGTAGGGCCAGCCATGCTGGTAAGGTCGAGGGGGAGCACGTAAACTAACCACGACCCAAGAAATAAGAAACCCTAGTGCCTTTTTGGGACCTGAACTGCCACTAGATGGGCGTCTGTCCTCAGGCTATAGGCGGCCTTAAACCATCGATCTATGAACTCATCATTCAGTGATTGGCACATGATTTCAAACAAATATAGATAAATGGCTCCAATAATCACGAATGAATAAAACCATTCAGAGGTTTTTGAATGTTCCATAAAGCAATGGTTAAGATAGTATGATATCTAACTGCTTATATTTTATTGGTTAGGAAGAAACCAATATAATAATTCCATTGCTTACCATTTGTTTTCAGTTTTTCAAATGAGAAATGTATGTATTCTTCTATTAAGTTACGGTGTATAACAGATCAACACATTTGCTCTGTCTCTATTAAGTTCCGTTTTATCATATCATTGAATCGTATCGGAATTGTGTATTTCTTCAATTGTATGTCAACTGATATGTTCATGTAATAATCGTATTATTCGACATTATAACGCTTTATCAAAAATATAGAAGCATAGTCCAATATGTGGACCAGACAATGTGAGACAATGTTTTTTTCAGCAAGTTTGACATGCTTTATTCAGAGAATAAATCTTCAGATTACCTATTCCGTGTGTCCTTTAATTTTATTAGATTGATATTTTCTTAAGATATAATTTATAATTGAATATAAGTTCTGTCAATATTTACCGCTTGAATCCAGACACATCTATTGTCCTTTTGCGCTTATCCTTTGTCGGTTTGTGAATTGTAAATGACTTCCATGGTTTGTTATTTAGGTTATCGTCGTCATGTTTGTAATTGTGTACTTCAGCCGCTAATCTCTGGTAACTTACGGCCACAGTTAAGGCTTAAAAATATTTCAAAAGGTGTCCCTTACGTTGATATGCTGCTGCTGCCTTATGGTAATGGGTGCGTTTGCTTGTGTCCTTCATGAAAATAACTAATATTACATGCGATTCCTTTCTGTATATTACATTAAAATTCATACATTTCTTTTTTGAATTTTTTGTGATTATATTTTTATTTCTATTTTCATATTATTTTTATTCATCCTACAAAATATAAATAAACATTAAAATATTTCATTACTAAAGGTACAACTGTACATTTGTGCCTTTATCTGTACAGCGGTATATGGCGAGATATGGCGGGATGTGGCGGGATGTGGCGGTATGTGGCGGTTGTCCTGCGAAATATTATGCAATGAAAAAATAAGCACAGTAGCTTCCGCCAAACAACATAAAAAAGAATAATATTTATTGTGATCCTTTTTTGATGTTTCCTCTTATTTTGAATAAAATAATATGAGAAGTAAAGAAGTAACACAAACCGAAAAAGAGCAAAATAAATATAATTTTTATATTTTGTTCCATTCCATCCATTTGATTTTTTGCTTTCTATAAGATTCAATGAAGCTGAGGATACTTGCAACAATTTTTTGTACACTCGAAACCTTTTCCTGTGCACCGTTGTCGTCCTCGTTATTGCTTTGGCTGAATTGTCATTCCTTCCCAAATGCACTATTCCTACATAAACACACTTTATTATAATTATTGTCCTTCATACTCTTTTACTTTCTAATTTTTACCTTTTGTTAACCATTTCACCATTTTTTTGCTATGTTTTCAACATTTTTTCTTCATTGGACTTTGGAAAATCTTTTGCGGCCATGTATAGAAATTTATTTATATATATATATATATTTTCCATTTCGATAGGTTTTGTATTTTTTCGTGCTTTTGTGTATTGCAGTATATTTACGCTTTAGTATGTCCGGTTATGTCCTATTTAGCGTTATCCTGTGATGTCCTTTGCTGTCCTGTCCTGTCCTGTCCTGTCCTGTCCTGTCCTGTCCTGTACCGCACCGTACTATACTATACTGTACTATGCTGTACTATACTGTACTATATTGTACTATTCAGTGTTGTCTGTCTGAGTGGCATCTTGGTGTATAGTGTTATTTTTTGCACAAAAGGATTTGGCTCGCGCAGCTTAAAGAAAAATTTACTAACACATAAAAATGGCAAGGAATGCACTTAAAACATGAGTAGCATTTGTTTCGTCCTTTATTATCCTGCTGCTACCGCAAAATACGGAATGAATAAACAACTAAAGACAGTACGTGTATGTCTACTCTCAAATGAATGTATATTTGAATATGGGGTTGAAATAAGGTGAGTCCTTGGTTAAATTAAATAATCGTATAAACAGAAAATGTGTTATATATAATTATGTATTTGTGGAAATTGATTTGGAAACGCCAGTTGCTTAGAACATTGGTGAAATTGATTTAATTTTGCTAGCTGTTCTAATTTAGTCATTTCGTCAGACAACTTAAATTAGAATTAGTCCTCTTTAGAGGACTATATTTTAATTAAATATGTACTTAATATTCTCTTTCCTATCAGTAATATAATACAGAGTGACATACATACGAGTACATATTTTTCTATCACCATTAAGTATAAGGACCACGCATACCAGTTATATTAGTCGTGATCTTTTGAAACCATTTTGCAGAACAGGGTTCATGGACGCTTAATTTGAGAATGACAAAGAAAACAACAACACTGCATTGAGCGGAAGTGACATATAAGTAAAGTTTACATTTACGAGTACTCTTAAAAATTGTTAAAAAATTTTTATCTAAAATTGCATAAACAGTGCAGTGCAGTAAATTTATTTAACAAAATAATATATTCCAAAAAAAAATAATTGTTTGCGTTTTATTTCTTTTGAGGTGTGCCAACCAAATCCATCTGTTATTCGATCATTTTGAAACGGTTCGACTTACCATACTTAAAATTCGACGTGGCATTTTTTGGAGAGAGGACTAATGACATGTAATATATAAACCTTTACTTATAAGAAAAGAAGGAATCGAAGAGAACCTTGAAAACTAAGCATAGATATTGATTGCAAGGAATATTTTTGCACAGTTTGTGAACGTGGAAATAAGTACTTATTGCTTCTAAAAATTAACATGGGAGTACCATTAACACTCCAGTTGCAGTTTTAGGAAGAGAAGAAAGAGAACTGACAACTGATAGCTATTGCTCATTTCCCATTAAGGATATTGATGTTTTCAATTATTGTATATTAAGAAAAAGTCATTTCGTTTAGGTACTTTAAGTATCTTCATAAAGTATCTTGGGCACATAAAACTGCTACTTATTGATTTTTGTATATTAATTGTTTTATGTATTTTAAATAAACTTTGCTACCTAACGTTTAATTTTATACGTTTCAAATTTATACTTTTACTCGATTTAATAATCGGGCTATACAGCAAGACTTCGGAGCTAAATTTGGATCGGAGCTAAATTTTGAGGTTTAATACAATAGACAAAGAAGTTATTATAATTTGAAATTATTTATCATTTTATTTATCATTTATTTATCATTTTAAAATAAATTAAATACAAGAATGGACATAATGCAAGAAATTGTAACAAAAAGCCAGTTTAAAGCATATAAAGGTGAAAAAATAGGTTTCCAGACATACAAATTCGTGAAACACAAACAATCTACTTGAGTAAGAACTGAGTTGGCCTGGTATTAGAAAGAGAAATTGCGGATATGGAAATAATATGCTCAAAAATAAAAGAAAACTAACTTTTTTTTCAGAAAAATCTGGGAACAAAAATAAGACTGTTTGAAGCTGCGGTTGATGTAGTCGGAAGATAAATGCGGTATGGTTTAAACAATATCCTTACGTACCAAGAAGAACAGGCAATTACACGATATTAAGCAGACAGTCATATGACAAATAGTCTCGTTTGGTTCTTGCTTTATGTGGTCACGACTATTGAGGTATGTTATACAAACAGTCAAATCACAATTGTCACTTTGATACAATCAGTACTATTTTGATCACTTTTAGTTATGCTAAAATATGGAAGATAATATTTTTGAGCGAATTTTTATGCGAATTTGACATTAGTGACTATCACTGCTTCGATTCATATGATCAAGTACAGAAAGCCTCATCAATTTAACCAAAGTTTGATTGAATAATGCACTCTTGCTTTGGATGTAAGCAGCATTCTTACTTTAAACGTGAACATGACTGTCTGCATAATGGAGCCCGAAATGAAAAAAAATTGTTTCTGTTGTTTAGAAAACACATCTTAGTTGGCTAAAATTTTTTAAAAAAACTTACCTTAGTTAATAAAATATTTAAAAATATATGTATTTTATAGAGTAAGTTTCAAAATTTTTGTTTCGGCCCTCTTGTTTGGAGAAGTTTTTTATATTTTTTGATATTTTGAAAACATCTATTTTATAAGTCCTGAGTATTGTTTAGCCACGTTTTGAAAGCCCTAAAAAACTGGAAACTATATTCAAAACCACTTTCAGGCCAAGCTTGAATTTTAGTTCCACAAACGGGTGCGATGGCTGCTAGGGTGCAAAAGATCGCCACAGTGTTGCAGTCGCTACGTGTGTTTAGTAGAAATTACAGTACGCAACCTTATTTTTTAAAGACCTAATTTAAAATGTTTTTTGAAAAATTCTATTTCTTTGCAGCTCCTGTTGCATCTAAAGAAACAACAGAGACTGAAACAACTGATAATGACGTGGGCACTGCATCGGGTAAGTAATATTGATAAGTAATGGAGCAATTCGTTTTTATTATATATATTTAGTTGAAAAAAAAAATCATTGACAGTAGATATTTTGAATGTCAAAAAAAATTTTCAAAATTAAATATTTGTTTTTTTTATTAGAAGGCACAAAGAAACCTATTAGCGAAATGACATCCAGTGAGTTAAATACAGAAACTGAAGGCACTACTCCTGGTGAGTTATTATATGTAACATAATATGTCTAGGGTACGAGTATGTGTTATATGTAGTGTTCATGAACACTATTAGAAGTATGAAAATAGTGGAAACTTCTTATTTAAAAAAAATTTGCTTAGGAACCCATGAAACAGAAATCGTGATAGAAAACGAAATAATCGAATTAGGGGAACCAGAAATTGAAGTGCAATCAAAAACAGTGGAGCATCTAAACCTTGAACCAGAGCAATTACAAATTACACCAACGCAGCCAAAAGTGAAAACAGGACAGCCGCAAATTGATACCCAAGTCTGCGTTCAAGGTAATAAACTGCTAAAATTTAGATAGAAATAAAAATTATATGATTCCCATTATTCAATAAGAGTATAAATCTTCCACAAGTTTAATCTGAAATAGACAATTCTGACACCACTTCGTTGTCAAAAATATCACTTCCATCTTTCCATCTTTTAGACTATTCGTCCTTTCAGTTGAAACAATTTTAGTAAGTTTATTTTCAATCATTAATCATAGAATCATAAAATCAGAGAAGTAAGGAAGAAATTCGGCTCTTCTATAAACAGTGAGTTTTTATATCCAATATAAGTATGGATATATATTCACTTCAAACAAAATGTAGGTGGTATTTATTACATAATGTAGGTAACCACAATTGTTGGTATATTAAAAGTGGTTAAACTAACCTTTGTGTTATTCATACCCTGCTTTTTCAGGGTTAAATATCCAATGCACTTAAGACGGGATAACTACTTTAGTCACTTAAAGTAGATTGAACAGATTTTTTGACATATTATTGTATAAACGAAATGAAATTTCAATTAAATATAATCCAATGTAAAGCTTCAGTCAGTTGCAATAGTAATGAAGCTAAAGTTGTATTGCATGGCTCCGATTGATGAGGAGCCTTTCATGTACATCATGCATTCTGTGTAAAAAGTATCAGGAATATATTATTCTTAAAACTCGCGCAATTTCAGTTGGAAGAGCTATAATGTGTCACCACACATGTTTTCTGATTCTTCTGCGGTTTCATGTGATTTCCTTCTGTTTTCTAAATTCATCGTCTCGAGAAAGACATTTCAAGGCGATTGAAACGAATAAAAAATCACAGATAGAATTGAAGACTAACTCTATTTAGTTGCGTAGAACGTATGAACCTACTACTCTATCTGTACTCTATCTGTAGTAATTTCAAATACATTTAGCAATTTTAATTATTTTACGTTATTTATCAAAATGCACTCTTTATTATAAAATTAAATTAAGTATTTTGTTTGTGAACTTATGCCATAGAAACACAATTTTTTAATCGAAAATTTTTATTGTAAAATCAATTGTTCAGATTCACCAGAAAGCCAATCTGCCAATACGTCAAGTCCTGAAAAAATGAGCACTTCTGGTTACCAATATTTCAACGAAAGATATTCTTATCTAAAAAACAAGAGAAATAAATCAGAACGCCAAACAAATGAGTTTAAAGTAATCTTAAACCTTAATTATAAAGATAATCTCACTTTTAACTTATTTTTTAACTATGAAATAATCAGGTTTTGTTTTCTTTTCATCCATAGGAAATGTGTTCTCCCAGCAACTGCACATTTAGTTCGTTTATAAAAAAGAAATGGTTTTAAAACAGATGGCTTGCTGTGAAGAAGCGACTTGGGGGTAAGAGTATCTATTTAGAAGAGCTATGGTATCGACGTATGTTCCAACAAATGCAAAAGAGCAAGTTGGAACATCAGCTGTGTACGGATATAAGGCAGAGATCTGGTCGACATATCATGACTTGTGTACTATCAGTTTTTCTTTACTGAGTAATGTAGTATTTATTATGTAAGAGTGAAGAACTTCGGCTAAGTTGAATGCTAAGATCGTTCTTAGTTTGTGCAGTGTTCCTCATGTCGAATCATTTTTTGTCGAATGTTTGTGTATCAGTTAAGAAAACGGCAGAGGAACTGCTTCCTGTTGTAGTACCATGATTTTTATTGAAGCTTAATTGATGCAATGGGACTAATTTCTCCTGGGTAAGAATATAAATCCTTTAATTATTGTGTGCTGGTCACCAACGCCGTACGGAAAATCAATAAACAAAACTATCTAATATTCATTTTGAGGCAAACATTCTTCTTGCTCATAAATGTAACTGAAGCAAGTACTGAGGTTAAGTTAAAGTTACTCTCCAAACAACAAAATTTCAAAGACAAATAATAAAAAATGTTTTCAAACAGTTAAAATTACAAATGGCATTTTATTTTTATTTATTTGTAATTTCTTGTAGTTTATTGAATTCTTATGTATTTTATTATTGAATATTTCATTGATGAAATTGCAATGAACATTGAAATATTAATCTCCGTAGCTGCGCATATGTTAATCTATAAGGATACAATAGATTTAAGGATACAAAAACATATGCATAGAGAAGAGAGTTATTTTATTTGGAGTGTACGACACGTATCGATTAAGAAATCCCTAGACTAACTTTTAGAACTTATTCTTTCCGCAAAAATCGACTTTATTTAGCAACTTAATTTTCTTCGAGTGCTCCCCTAATTAATTTATCTCTCTAGAAGAAATGAAGGTTCTAGCTCAGCTCTTTGGGTCAGTAGTGAAAATCTTTAGAATTCATTCCTAGGAGCTGTTATATATAGTGGCTGTCGATGTTTTCTTCCTACTGCCCACAAAACTATCAGTTGAGAGGGACAAAACCGGTTTTAGCTGTTTTCTTAATATGTAATATAATACATTCTTGCTGAATGGCGTTTCTTTATAAAATTGACAGCAAATTTTTAGGACATGGCGATGCCCTATGTCGAACTTGCGATGACAGCTGGAGCAGATATACTACTGTTAATAGATTTATTTAAGAAATTCAGTAATCTGGGATGAGTAGTTCTCTTTAAACTTATTTGAAGCGGTGTTGTAAGAAAATATAAGAATATATTTTGTGAAATTTCATTTAGTACTATAGCCATTTAAATTAATTCAGCAATTTCGTTATATATGCTATAATCAATCAAAGTTTCCAGTAAAATCAATACAACCAGTAAAGCAATAAAAATGCACGTACGCGCGGCTTACACTATACCTTTGATCCTGTGGATCGTCATCTGGTGAATTAAATGGTGCGTTGCATTTTCCGTCGTGCACCGCTTCAGTTGGGCTGCAGCATAAGATTTATTACAGAAAACATTGATTTGAACGCATTGATCCTGTTTTTGACAGGAGATTGTAATATTTATTGATGACGCTTGTCACTCAATTTCTGTGTAAATCAGCACATAAATCACACAAGTTCAAATACGAGCAAACGTAAATGTCACACTCAAATAACCCAGTAGTGTATGGCCGATAGTCTACATACCCTTTGCAAGCATTAATTGACTTGCTGTGGGACTGACTTCACAACACACGCACTAACCACTTCAAACCACTACCGTCGCACGATATTGTGTCTTTTTTAAACAAAGTGCAGTTGACATTTGTTGATTTTTCTACTCAAATTTCTTTTGTATTGCCAATTAAAGATTAATGACCAAGAAAACAGTCCACAATGAACCAATTAAGCTTTGCATGCGACTTTGCAGTCACAAAATTATTCTCTACTTGGCATGAACTGCAGCAGCAGATGCAGATGTTGCGTCTGCCTCATAGGTGCATCAATTTGCGCATTCATAATGCGGCCTATGATGATCCTTTTTGTTAACAATCCCAAATGGAATATAAGAGGACAAACAACATTGAATATCCTTCTGTAATAACTAAAAATATAATTTCGAAATTATTTGAAATTAGTTAATTTCAGTTTTTACTTGAAATATATTGCTTAATGGAAACGACTGTAATAATTCCTAAGATTCCTAATCCAAATAAAATATCTCATTTATACAGTTTGCAAAGAATATTAATCTTTACATATATCCAAAACTAGTTTTTGCTACAGTTCCGCCCTCCTGAGGGAAAAAAATTAAAAAGCAAGTATTTGTGTTACTCTATGAGTAACTATGAATACGTATGTTAGATGAAGATGTCAGGATTCTTTCGCCGTACACACATTTTTATGATATTATGAAAGCAAACCCAAATGAAATAAAGAAGTGCAATATGACTTGGAAACCTAAACTGTATACTCACAGTAAAAATCAGGCAATGATAATCAAAAATCATTTCTGCCCATATGAAAAAAAGCATCGTCAAAAATCTTGGTGCTTGGCCAACACAATTACTTTTGGTATCAATTAGAGTTAGACATCAATTAGAGTTATATACTTTATAAAGCTGTTGGGAGATACGAAGAATGCAAAAAAAATTAGGATTAACGGCTAGATTTATGCTTCGGAGCCACTTATCTTCACATGCAAATACATGTCGTTCTCACCTTCCAACACGGTGTTAAGATTGCTTTACAGTTTTTTGACCAGTAGGCAAGTCACCCGGAAACTTGTTCATTTTGCTATTTTCGATGACCAACACTGTTTTGTCAGTCTCAAACTTCACAAAAACACCAAATCTCTCAGATGTATCACCTGCTAATTGAAAAGATGCTGAAATATGCTGAATATTCAGGTACCGAAAGAGTTTTCTGGTAACATCTTCATTATATTTGGATAGTGTCTTCTATCAATAGATCAACATTTAAAGCAGATGTACAGCCAGCTTAGAGATTCAGCCTTTTCTTATCTGGAATTGGTAATTTGAGTCATCTCTCAATGGACTAAACTCTTGACCCATAGTGCCTAACAAATAGAAGAAGAAAATAAATATGGTCCAAAAATAATTTTGTTACTTCTCTAAATTATCGAAGCTTATTTGTATAAAATTAGTTTTCGTTTTAAATTTTTTTGTTTTGTCATAAAATTTTGCGTTAAAAAGAAGTGAATCCTTCGAAGTTGGTTGGCGAGGTTGCAGTGAAGTGCCAACATTTTTGCAATTTTTTGAACATTTTGCAGATATGAAAATTCATTTGTTGGCCTTTTTAATAAAAATTTATGATTATTGTTTTCACATTTTTCATGTTGTCAATAACTTTAAAATCATTATTTTCCACACGCGTAAACGACGCGCTCTGCAAGATACGCGAGAGATGCGTTGCGAGATGTGCAATTGCAGCAAAAATTATTGCAATTGCGTGTGGCGCTGCTAGTGTCAAAGTATTCGTGATATATATGCGGCTGATGGAATTCTGAAATTCTCGGCGACACACTGGGGTCGGTCATATAAAACATATCTACAAGCGCAACTGATACTACACAAATAAGAATGCCATGCATACGTCATACGTACGAAACAAAGAGCAAAAAAGAACATGCTATATTCTATTATTTTAAAGTAACATAAATGTGTATCCATATTATTAAAACCGCTTTTACTAGTTCGAATATATACCTTGTAATCAAAAAGGAACAATTTTCAATAATTTTCTTTATTATCGCCTTCAAAGTACTCTTCTCCTGCGGCAATACATGCATGCCAACGCTTGATTCAATTTTCCATACAAGTTTTATAGGCCGCCGAAGGTATGGTCTTTAGTTCACGCAGCGAATTCTCTTTTATGGCCTCTATGGTCTCCAAACGCGTTCCTCGCAATGGCAATTTAAGTCGGGGGAAGAGGAAAAACTCACATTGGGCTATATCTGGAGAGTACGGTGCTTGGTTGATGATATTGGTGGAGTTTTTGGCCAAAAACTGCGACACAACCAACATTGTGTGAGCCGGTGCATTATCGTGGTGTAAAATCCATGCGTTTTCCTTCCATAAATCTGGCCTCTTTTTGCGAATGGCCTCACGCAAAGACGCATAACGGCCAAATAATACTCCTTATTGACCGTTTGATCATTTGACCGTCCGGAAGAAATTCATAGTGCACCACACCACGAATATCGAAGCAAACAGTCAGCATAACCTTAATTTTGGACCGACTTTGACGTTCTCTTTTCGGTTTTGGCGTTCTATCTCATTGCCCACATCACAAAGACGCTTGTTTTGAATAAAAAAATCTAAAAGCTAAAAATCGCCACACGAAAATTTTTCGACTTCTTTGTATAGACGCCAAACAAAAAGTAATCGTACGATATGCGTTAAACTTTGACAGAATGTGTACAATAGTGTTGCCAGCGAGAAAATAACAAAATTTACCGATTGGATAAGCGCGGGAATTCGAAAAAGAACGAATAAATTCTTTTTTGATCACAAGGTATACTTTTTACAATAATAGCAATTTAAGTTTAATTAACAATGAGGTATTTACGACCTTAGATGGAAAACTATCCAAAAATATTTTTGCATTATGAGTCGTTAAATCAATAAGAGAGCTCTTATCACCGTCGTCAGGAGGTTATATACATTCATCATTGGTCTGTTTATTTTCAATATTTTTGTATATTGTCCATTCTTATTCAGTTATTTGTTAACTTCTTCATCATGGGTTTATCTTCACATTATCTTTAACGACGTTAATAATACTATTACACTCCGCCAATTATCCGACATGTGATCTGACTACTTTAACTCCTATTATTCATTCATTTTCCGCAGTTTGTTTTATATTCGTCTCACATTGTTATGAAAAAGTGAGCTTAGACTAGAACTGAATAATCTTATAATAACCTCTATATCTTCTCTTGATTAGACATTTCAGACACACGAAAAGTTGTTCCATTATTTCGAAAAGTTCCTTTTGTGTTGACACAGTCACAGAGAACTTCAAGGTGCTGCTGATATTACTAGAGGTAGATCATAAAACCCTAATGTGTAATTTTTACCGAAATCTATAATTCGCCTATGCTGAGTAAATTTTGATTGTATGTGTCTTTTGAAAGGTATGTCCTTTTTTAAATATACCGTTAAATATTTTTTATTTTTAGTGTTCAATTGTCAAGTAATAAATCGATCTGTCGCACGTTGTCGCTGTTATTCGGTGTCCATAGTTGTTCGCTTTGCCTGTTGTTGCTGTTGTTGTTGTTGTAGTTGCTGAGTGCTCCTGAAAAACTGCATACTATGCAATTCGACAATACGCCAACATGTCGACCTACAACATAAGAGCGAAAATATTCACACACGCACGCACGCACCCACACATATACATACTGATTGGCGGGATATATGCAGTGAAGCTGTTGCATTACAACGATTGCCTACAACGGAAACGGATGTGCACAAGTTCTTCATCTTTCATTGCTTTGCATATCAATGAAAATGCATAAATTTCCGCGCTAACACGCGCGTAT